TCCTGTAAACAAACGTTGGTTTTCACGAGATTCACAGGCGCATGCGCAACGCTGAGCTCATACGTCATCAGCCTGGAGCTGCTTCCGTGTACAACTGTTGGCGCAAGCTACATTAAAGCGATTACGTTTTGAATATGGATATTTTTCTTACAAAACCGCATCGATTCACTACAGAAGGCCTTTGTTCACCCCCCGGAGCCGTGTGAGACACTTTTGATTATGAATGGGCGCTTTTGATTTAACTTCTTTTGGACTGATTCACTGCAACACCCGCTGAGTGCCATTAAACAGCTTGAAAGATCAAAGACAATTTTTAATATAACTCCGACTGGATTCGTCTGAAAGAAGAAAGTCATATACACCTAGGATGCCTTGAGGGTGAGTAATTTAAGGGCTAATTTTCATTTTTGGGTGAACTAACCCTTTAAGAGAATCAGACCCCACAGGTCACACGCTGAATGGTGCAGGTTGATAGTAGGTAAGAGACATGAGGCATCAATAAAGGGCTAGTTAAGGAGATGTTGGTCTAGCTCTCACATTATAGTTGAACAAACACTACACCACATGCCACTGCAAAACAAGTGCCTGACAGCAATGAGAAAGCAATGTACTACACACTGCTTTCAGACACTGGGGATGGAGATGACTTTCGCAATTCAATGTTGGACCTGCATTGCTTTGCAGTCAAATTGGACTTAAGACATTTTGCACAGTAAACATGAGCACTGATGGATTCCTGCAGCTGGAGACAGTTCACAGCAAGCAGCAACATCAGAAAAACACTGTGGGTTCTTGCTAATGGACATCAGATGGTATGCAAACATTGACAGTGCTACTAATACCTCAGTGCTTCCTAGACAAAGAAAACGTCCTTACATCGCACATCGATGGAGTTAGTACATTCTAGTGAATACGGGGTAAAGTGCTGAATTTCGATTGATTGACTACTTTGAGAAAACCATCCCTATGCAGAGTCAGTTGAAACATACAGAGATGGCCATTTTGCACTGAGACTTTCAGATTGATGCAAAAAAAAAAAACAAAGTTATCCCATTAACTGACCTCAATTATATCAGCAAAGAAGTCAGGCTAATGAAATTCAGCAATTACATCCTGCACGTGATGTGCAAACTGTGAGGAAATAATAAACTGACAAGTTTTGGGACAAAAAAAGTGAGTTGGCTGGGTGTAGAAAGTATACCCCTCATTCACAAACAGAATGTTCCGCAACTTAATAAACTATATGACTTAAGACACACATTATAATAACAGTAAATTGAGATATTCACCTATATAAGCTCGTTCCTGGTCCCGAGTCAGCCCAGGAGGGATTACGGTGGGCATGCCCGGGATAATGGTCTTCTGATCAGGGGTTTCACTGCTCCAGCGACTCCTTTTTCGCTTCTTCTGGCCAAAATCTAACAGGGAATGGTATAAGTGAGATGTCATTGCATACAAAGAACGATAGACTTTGCGTTTTACCCTATAAAGCCTACAACAGTATCATATTTGATAAACTAATCTCAAGGCCTCTAAATTATCAACATGATCAAAACATTCCCTGGGGGAAAAAAAAAAAATCTTTCATAAACAATTCATAAAGTCTCCCGCCCTCGGATTGATTGTTCATTCTTGATAAGTACCAGTAAATAAAACTAAAGAATAGCCTAACTTTTATATTGTTAGTAAGATTTCACGACAAACACTTACAGGACTCAAACAACTTAAGTTTACTTGATTATCCATATATATATATATATATTATTTATTTACATAAATAAATAAATAAATAATATATATATATTTTTTTTTTTATTCCCAATAAACAAAGAAAGTTTTTATATATTACAAATATTTAAATGCTTCGTCTAAAAGTTACAAAAAAGATGTGTGAAGTTTTACAGGGTTAAACAACACAGTATGAAGACAATTTCAACCTGTAAACCGTTTGTGCGAACGCAGGTAAATATATGAACTACAGGTTTAGTGCACTACACAATTTCAAGTTTTTATTAGACAATGCTACTGACAAAACAATAAGTCAAAGACTAAAGAGCACAATGAATGCAGCCACAACTATAAAGGACCAGGCCGTTTGTCCTGAGCCTCAGGCCCGTCCACGCTGTTTACCTCCAATCTCCGCCTGAGACGGTAGTCCCACTCCGACTGGGTTTGAGAGCGCAGAACTCACGGCTCCGGGGAACTGGGAGAAACCTGGGTTTGATAATTGCGGTTGCTGTAAGTTCTAAGAAAACGGATACAGAGTGACAACTGATATTTTTATGCATTTTATGCAAATAGTCTGTTATAAAGAACTCAGTGATTACATTGCAAACTATCAGCATTTATTTCACTCCAATCTCCGCCTGAGACGGTAGTCCCACTCCGACTGGGTTTGAGAGCGCAGAACTCACGGCTCCGGGGAACTGGGAGAAACCTGGGTTTGATAATTGCGGTTGCTGTAAGTTCTGCAGCGGGAAAGACACCGCAGGCCCGGGCGGTGCCATTAACCCCGCGCCGGGGCCAGAGTCAAAGCCTCGCTTAGCGCCGATACTCGGGTGCAGCTTCCCCAGCGGGGTTGCGTTGGCTCCCGTTGCCATTTCTGGGCGTCAGGGGCTTCGCTGTAGTTTTGTATATGCACAAAAAAACGTATGTTTCCTTTCTAGACAATATGAACGTATGTCTCCTAACATGCAACCTTCTTCTGTCACCCGCTAACTAAGATGGCGCCCACTGAGATCGACAAAGGAGTTTTGCCGTCAATTTAGAACTATGCGATTGGTCGATGATTATGTCAATCTATGGGTGGTTTACAGTCATTGGATCATGTAGGATCTGTCGTATTTCCGACGGAACACTTTAGTGGCCTCTCATTGGTCGTTCTAGTGCTCACAAGAGGCCCAACCTCCTAGCATGGTAGGTTGGCTCTTGTAAGTGCGCTTCAGCACGGTTTTTTTATTTTTATTTATTTTGTATTGCTTGAAGAACATAAATACCAAATAAATAACAGTAAGAAAAATCTTAATACAATTCAAAGAAGGATTCAGCACGGTTGTGGCTAGAAGGGATACAGCAAAAGCCGGAAGCTAACAATAAATGTAATTTTCTATTAGATTGTGTTTTATTAACGTTTACACTAACCTCAACCCTAAACCTACCCCTTACAATAATGCAAGAATAGTAATTATTGTTGTACAGTGTGAGAAAAATTGCGCTATATTGATGTGCCCATGCCCAATAGTTTTTGCTGTATCCCTTCTATCCTTAACCCTTCAGCGCTTCTTCTTCTTCTTCTTTTTCCTGAAATTTTATTGGCGGTTGACAAACAACAACATGGTGTATTTCCGCCACCAACTGGTATGGAGTGGTAATCAAAAAAGTGACTGAGAAGGGTCTCAAGAGGGTCTGGCTGCAGCCTTGCACTTGCACTCTCAGACTCAGACACTTGCGCTTCCGCTAGCGACGTCACTTGCAGTCTTTTTTATTTTTTATTTTGTTCTATTTATTGATAACTTTTTGTTTGAATCTCTCAACATTTTACAACAGTAGCCAGGTGGTGAAGACAAGACAAAAGAAACTAACCCCTTGTCCAAATACCCACACTTGCGGTCTTGGCCGCAAGACTGCGCAAGACTGTCCCAGGTCTTAAAAAAGGCAGAGCGCAGTGCCCTTAACGCACACTAAACCCACACTATCTCGAATACCGCTCTGGAGCGCTATTCGAGGCTCAGTGTATCCCATCATGCATCATGTTCTGGAAATAAATCGTGAGACTTTTTGCCGAGATCTCGCGAGAGGTCACGGAAACCTTTCCAATGCAAGTTAAATATTAATATAATAATTAGATATTACATATCATTTGGTATAAAAACAGTGTTTTTACGTTTTATTGGTGCAAAGATGAGTAGTGGTGATATTTATTTTGTACAACATTTGCAACTGCTTTTTATCACTTAATTAGAAGCACCACAAATTAAAATTGTCATGTTATAGGGACTACTGAACAGACATTTGGAAGTTGATTTTAAAATGCAAAGTATTTCAAATGAAAATAAAGCTATGTAAACACTTGCATTTTTACAACTCTACAAGTGTGTCCCATCAGGTAATGAAAAGTTCGACACACACTTGTGGTCTTCATGAGTTATTTTGTCAAATATATCTCGGTGTAAATTGCATTTTTATTGTTTCTAAATTTTGCATTAGAATCCTTCTTTCAGTCTCATATTTCAGTACAATAAGTACAATATAACATGTTCCAGTTTCTTCTTGTCCACAAAATTCACACCTTCCCATATCATGTTTACCCATTTTAAAAAGTGTCCTATTTAATCTTGTGTGTCCAAATCTCATCCACGATATTACTATCTCATCTCTCCTGTTTTTCCCTGCACTTCTCATCTCTCCCACTTTCCTTTGAATTCTGTAAAACCACCGACCTTTTTTCTCCTTATCCCATTGTTTTTGCCACCTTTCCTTCAGTCTTTTCTTAATAATACTCTTGATTTCATTCTTACTTAGATTAACAATTAAGTTAATGTCATTGTTCTTAACTGCTTCTTTCACTTCTTTGTCTGCAGTTTCATTTCCTTGGATACCAATATGCGCTGGCACCCATATAAATACCACTGTAATCTCCATCATTTGAATTCTATATAACGTTTGCATTATTTCCATTAAAATGTCTGGTCTACTTTCCGAGTGACTGTACTGTAAACTAGCCAATGATGAACATGAATCTGAACAAATAATTGATTTCAAAGGTCTTATCTCTTCTATCCACTGTATTGCTAATAATAGTGCAATCATTTCCCCTGTATAAACTGATAACTCATCACTGATCCTTTTCCTTACTGATAAATGAAATTCTGGAACAGTAAACGCTACTCCTACCTTATTGTCTAAACTCTTTGAAGCATCTGTGTAAATCTGAACATAGCTGTAGTACTCATTAATATATGTCTGCACATTATATAAATGACATTCCTTACCCTTATTTTTCTGTTCGATTTCTGAAAGTAACCAAGGTTTTATTACAGGTAGCGGTACAGTTGGACTAACATTTCACTGATTAACTTCAAGTTCTGTTGCTTTCTGTATCACTGTCCATCCAAAACTTTTATAGAGACTTCTTCCCAACAGGGCTTTAAAGTATCTAGTGTTGGATGCTCTTGACTACGGCCTTGTAAATTAACCCAATAATTAACTGATAACTGTACCCTTCTCATTTCTAATGAAATTTCCCCCATTTCAACCTGTAGTGCTGTAATTGGTGTAGTTTTTATAGCTCCTGTACATAATCTCAATACCTGATGCTGTATATTATCTAACTTTCTAAGAGATGTTTCTGCTGCTGATCCATACACCACACAACCATAATCTAACACAGATCGAACCAATCCACTATACATGGCCTTTAATGCCATCCTATCTGCCCCCCATTCACTTCCGACTAAACACCTCATTGAATTTATTATTTTCTTACATTTGTTCACTATATTCTGAATATGCACCGCCCATGTAACTCTTTCATCAAACCATATCCCTAAAAACTTAACGTTTCACTCTTTTCAGTTCTTGATTATATAATTTTAGTTTTACCTCACTTCCAATTTTTTTCCTTGTAAAAAACATTATCTTTGTTTTGTCAACTGAGAATTTAAAACCCCATTTATATGACCATTCTTCAACTATTGCAATAGCCACCTGTAATTTTTTAACAATAAAGTCAATATTCCTTCCCCTTTTCCAGATTGCCCCATCATCAGCAAAGAGTGAAAACCCCAGCCCATTATCCAAATCTTCAAATACATAATTTATCATTATGGAAAACAATAAAGAGCTCACTATACTTCCTTGTGGAGTTCCATTTTCGATCACAAACTTTAAAATATGGAGTGCCACAAGGATCTGTCCTAGATCCTCTGGTATTTTCGATATACATGTTGCCCCTTGGTAATATTATTAGAAAATACGGGATTAGTTCCCACTGTTATGCCGATGATACTCAACTATATATCTCAACAAGACCAGATGAAACTTCTAAATTATCTAAGCTAACGTGCTTTTCTTATTTCGTGTTCTAAACACACAGCCGGATCCATTGTATTTCTCCCTCTCCTAAAACCACTCTGATATTTGGATAAAAATGTATTATTTTCCACATGATACATTAACCTTTCATTCACCATTTTTTCCATTATCTTACCAATATTAGACGTCAAAGCAATAGGTCTATAATTTCCTGGATTTGTACAATCTTTCCCAGGTTTACGTATTGGAACTATCACCGCCTCCTTCCAACTTTGTGGTAATTTTCCTTCCTCCCAAATTTTATTGTACATTTTTAATAAAACATCCTTGGATAATTCACTGAGATGACTTATCATTAAATAGCAAATCTGATCCATACCTGGAGCTGATTTCCTGGTTTTTCTAAGAGCTCGATTTAACTCTGACTTCGTAAATGTCATATTTAGTTGATCATAATTGTATTCCTCACTCTGTATTATCTCTTTATACTGCTCCAACGCCCTTTCCCTTCCTCCTTTTCCCTCCTCACTAATATTGTCTGATTTATGTATTTTAACAAAAATTTTCGCCAACATTTCTGCTTTCTCTTCATCTTTTACAGCTGTTGTATCTCCATCCCTTAAAATTGGATACCCAAACTCTCTTTTTATCCCATTCATTCTTTTTATCATTCCCCATACTTGACCTATTTCTGTTTCCCTTCCCACTGTGTTACAAAATTTCCCCCAAAACTCTTTTTTTGTACATTTGATGATTCTCCTTACATTTGCTTGCTTCCTTTTATAGTCAATAAAATTCTGAAAACTATTATTATTTTTTAACATTTTAAAAGCTTTATTTCGAGATTTAATTGCTTGATCACATTCTTTTGTCCACCATGGTTCAATCTTCTTTTTTTTCTTACCTCCCTTCTTTGGAATAGTCTGACTTGCTGCTAACAATATAGCATTACAAATATCATTATTAACCTTATCAACCTCTTCTTTAACTTCAATTTTTTCCATTTCTTGTTCACTAATACTCCTAAATGCCTCCCAATCTGCATTTTCAAAAAACCATTGGTCTACTCCTCCTGTATTACACTCTTCTATACATAAATTTACTTCAATCACTATAGGATAATGATCACTCCCTATAGTCGTTTCTCTAAACACCTCCCATAAGCATATTGTATCTCCATCCCTTAAAATTGGATACCCAAACTTTCTTTTTATCCCATTCATTCTTTTTATCATTCCCCATACTTGACCCATTTCTGTTTCCCTTCCCACTGTTACAAAACTTCCTCCAAAACTCTTTCTTTGTATATTTGATGATTCTCCTTACATTTGCTTGCTTCCTTTTATATTCAATAAAATTCTGAAAACTAATTATTTTTTAACATTTTAAAAACTTTATTTCGAGATTTAATTGCTTGATCACATTCTTTTGTCCACCATGGTACAATCTTCTTTTTGTTCATACCTCCCTTCTTTGGAATAGTCTGACTTGCTGCTAACAATATAGCATTACAAATATCATTATTAACCTTATCAACCTCTTCTTTAACTTCAATTTTTTCCATTTCTTGTTCACTAATACTCCTAAATGCCTCCCAATCTGCATTTAAAAAAAACATTTGTCTACTCCTCCTGTATTACACTCTTCTATACTTAAATTCACTTCAATCACTATAGGATAATGATCACTCCCTATAGTCGTGTCTCTAAACAC